TACTAGTACTAGTACTACTAGCACTACTACTACTTTTTCTGCTGCCACCACGACTACCACTACACGTGTGTATTCCACGTGGCTGCTTGGGGGCGTCTGAACCAGAAGACAAAGTTGCTGAAGTCCGTGTATGCCAGAAGTCACATTACCTGGGACATACAACTTGGAGAAATGGCGCACCACAAAGACATGAGCGGCGGTCATTGAATGTTCTAATCAAGCGATCCAGCACTCTCCCTCTAGAGGGAGTCCTCGGAGCCCCAGGTCCATCCATGTTGTCGGGGCTTGCGAGCGGGTGTGAAAGCTTGCCGCGCAGGTTGTGCAACAAAAAGTCAAGAAGTGTCACAGGTCATTGTAAATTACAGAACATTACACAACATGGCCGAGACCAAGGTTGCAGGCTCCTGCATCCTCACTTCCCGGTGACCTGAAATGCGGAATTAAGCAGGCGTGCTTTGCATTGACCACAACATTGAACCAGATTCATAAATTAAAGGCAGGTCCCCCGAGTCAATGTCCTTTTCTGGATGCTTTGGTGCTCCCCCGGGTGTGTGCGCGTCTCCCTTGGCTTGCTTGCGAGGGGTACGGGAACAAGATCCCTGGCCATCCGGGCTCCCAAGGCCCGCGACTGTTCAGTCCGGCCCCCCCTACAAGTGTTGGTAGGTGTTCAGCTCATCCGTTCCTCCACTCGTCCAAAACAGAGATCCAGGTCTCGTAGTCTCGAAATGCATTTTCTGGGTCCCGAAGTCCCAAGCATGAAGATCTTCTAAACTTTCGGGATCGGAGCAAATTCTTGAAGGATCTTTCTTTCCAGGAGGGTACTCCACTTTGTCAGCTCGCTCTCAAGCATCCATGAGTCCATGAGCGCATGTGCCCATCATCTCGGATCGGGATGAACTTGGCGTTGACCATGTATGTGTTGTTACTGCTTACAGCGGGCTCTGCATGGAGAGCGACACATGCACACCTCAGGTCGGCGCCCCTGAAGCTTCGAACCGGACCTCACGTTAAACATCTTGGAACAGCAGCAATGTCACCCCTTGCGAGACTGCCCGGTGGCGAAAAGGAACCAAGCCACCAGCTCCCTGAAGACACAAGTATACCTCTTGATGAAGAGGTTGCGATCCTACAGGGGTGCAGCAAGTGACCTGTCAAGGACCCGCGAGACTGCGTACAATGTCGAGACTAGCCACACACCGAAGCAAAAGCGCTAAGCCCTTGCTTTCATGCAGCTGTCCTTGATGATCGTCTGTCCCGATTTGAGGTCAAGGATCTGCACCTGCCGTGGTCTTTCAACACAAACAAGGCAAACAGACAACTTCAGCGAGTAAGCAGCGCAAGCTTCCGAGAAGCATTGCCTTGTCATCGAACTGGACCATGAACCGCATCAGCTTCTTCTCCCTCGACTTCGTGGCCAGCATACATTTGTCATTGCTTTCATGTGACTTCTGGCAGATACACAGCAGGAGCCCAGTACGATCCATGTAACTTATTGCGAGACCAGACAGGGCCCGACTGCAAAGCAAAAATGCAAAGACTAACTAACTGATGTGTTGAATCGTAACTGTGGTATTGCACCGTATGCATGCGTATTGGGCACAACTGGCAAACTGCAAGGATTGTGGCACAGCAATACAACATAATCGTTGACATGCGGGTGACGATTCCGGTATTGCCGGGTTCTGACTTCACAAGATCTTTGGGGAGTGTACAGTTTCTTCGAAACATCTACTCAATCTGCCTATTCCAAATTTCGGATGTTGTCTGTGTCAGCTTGTACCCATCTGCGCTCTGGAACGGTCCTGACCAGACTTCCTCAAGCACTTGCTTGTGTTTTTTGGGGAGAGATTAATGGAATCGGCTCGCTTTGCAAAAAGAACGAGCCAGACAGCGAGAACAAAGAAAACACAATGTGTTTGTGCCGAGCACCCTCTACATTCTGCCACAACGCACTATTGGGCAGATGCCAGCAGATTGCTAACGAGTGTGTGTGTGTGGCTATCCCACAAGCGGGCAGCACGCCTATCCCCAGTGAACAGAAGGCACACTTTCATGGAATGAGGTTTGAAACAGCACCAACGCATTAGAGTCTGATGAGGTCTCATGATCCGGCGTCAGGAGGCTCGGAGAAATCAAGAAAAGCACACGCCCGCAAGATCCTGCAAGTGCCTGCAGGATGTAAGTGCCAACCGGCTACAAAGGAATGCACAAGCTACTTGATGCATGCATGCAGTCAACACGTCAACCTAGGGCGTGCACACCATGGGCAGCCGCTTCTCCGGTGGAATGTTGTTGGGGATGGGCTGGCAGGCAGCTTCAGTTCAATAAGCGAACCTCACCTTTCGACCAAGACAACCTCAGCATGGAGCGGCGACCTCGTTGTAAGCCTCCATCTGGGCATTGACGAGAAGAACCGCGTTGGTGTCTGATGCTGCGACAGGTTCCTGGATGGGGAGAGGTTTTATGTCCTGTTGTTTCCGGACACTTTATGTGGAACAGCTCGGCGGTGTGCAGGGTGGTGGCAAGTTGTTGTGTCCACTGCACTCAGTCTCTACAAACTGCCTCGCGCGCCGATCGCCTGTCCTCCTGCATAGGGGAATGGTTGACTGGAACTGACTGGACGTAGAGCTCATGTCTAAACTGTCATAATAGGCATAGACCCCGCGAAGATACAACATGGTGTAGCAAGCTTCTGTGGGTTTACATGCCCTCCTTTCGCATGCGGTTCCCTTGGCCTGTTGAAAACGACACCGATAGAACCCCTGGAAACACACTCGCAACATCCAGTCCTCTGTCGCCCGGGCAGCCCTGTTACCGTCATCCTTGTGCTTGTCCGGCTTGTTGCGCGCACCTCTCGCCGGCCGCAAGAGGCTTTGTCTGCTCGCTATCAACAACGATCGCATGCATGGCGGATTCTAGATTTGCCCGGAAACACGACTTCGCTTGTGGAAAGCATGCCGGAAGCGCCATTTCCACCTGCTTGCTACATCACTCTGGTGTCCATGAGACACTGACGCAGGACGCAAGATGACGCAAGGCTTGAGCCCCGGGCCTTGACGCAAAGCCTCTACAAGCTTCTTTCGCAGCTCGCGGTTCTCTGCCTCGCGAGATTTGGAGAAGTTCCTGGCTCCGTTGCATCAGCCCATCAAGCCTTCAATGTTGCGTTTTCCACCTGCAGCATGCGCAGTGCGCAGTGTAAAGAATCCACAAGAGGCCCATGCCTCAAGCAGCTGCAACCTTGACTCTGGAGATAGATCCGTGTCCTCGGGTGAACTCAGCTTTCCGAAGCCGAAGACGAGACCCCGGCGGGCTGCCTCATCATCGTTCCTTATCACTTCTCACACACCATCAGATCACAGCCTGCGATGTTGAAACAATCCAAGAACGAAGCCGGCGTCTGCTCCGACTCCTGGATTTTCGTCGCTCCTTTCCCATGGCAATGTGCTTTGCACGTACCTTGACGACTTTGTGCTGATTTTTCCGATGCTACTGCTGTACAACACATCGCTTGCACAGCAGACGACATGACATGCTTTACTCCTTGCTCAAGGCTTCAGAGTCTGTTGAAAACCTGTGTCGTCTCCAAAGCTGCAGCGTGTCATGCACCTAAGAACCTTTGACTACTCCCGCCAATCCAGCAGCGAATGTAGCAAGACTTGATTCAAGATCGCGAGGGGCGCACCGGCATGACGACGCGTGCCCATGACACACCATGCTCGTGAATTGCAGGCAAGCTGTTCGCAGGCTGTGGGCTGCGGACACCAACACGTTTTGGATCCGGTGTTGCGGTTGCGGCCATCTCGTGTTGAACCACCTCGAAGCACATCGTCTACTTGCAAAGCGATTTGCAACGAATGAGTAGAGCTCTTCAGCTGATAAGCTTGTAGGAGTGGCTGCAAATCGTTCCACATCTGACTGTGCACCTACATTGTTCACTAACCTGTCCCACTTGTGCGACCAGTGAGGTAAGTCTACGTAGTGGGAGCAGGTAGTCTGGTACTTCTTGCACTGTACGTATCAAACTTTGCTGTTCCGCTAATGACTGGTGGCACAGCGGACGCCAGCCAAGCGGCTGAATTGGATGACGAATTTTATTGCAATACACTTCAGCTCTTTGTCACAGCCGAATCACAGGCCGAATGCCTCAACATGCTGCGCAAACTTTTCAGAAATTCGCATGTCTTGGCTGCATTCCCATTGAAGCACGCGCCTGCTAGGAAGGCGGTACTTGCTGAACCGCTGGTGGCGAATGAGAGTGACGCCTGAGCAGCAGATGAATGAACGTGGCCTGTGGAAATTCAATACAGTATAATCAACCACATTAGCACTGTTTCCAGCACTGGGGCCTAGAGATGGCAAGACAACTTGGGGCAGCACTGATTGCTCCCTCCTTGCTGCGGCTGCCGCCCCTGAAAAGTGGCAGTTGTAGCTGTAACTTGCTTGGGCATGCTCGGACTGTGCTTTGCGCATGGTCTATCAACCGATGCTGGTAAAGAGCCCTGTTGCGGGAAATCAGGCCACTTGTTTTGACATTCTGCGTGGCCAGGACCTTCTTGTCAGAAGAGCTTCCCCCACGGTGTCGGCGAATGAAGACCTCGCACTTCCAGGTGACAAAGTTGAGCCGGGGCTTGCCAACTGCGCCATAGCAAGACACAGGGCATGGGGTGAGTCATGTGGTCGTGCTGAGATAGCCGCCCCCCTGCGTACTTCCGCATTGTCAAACCTGGAAACGCATGATGTTAGAAGTACTAGACAAGTTCTTGCTGACCTCCTAAAATGTGAATGAACAAGCTCAGATGGCAACTCTCCTGCGGGAAGTTCTGCTAAAAGCTCCTGCCGTTCAGACCAGACGATGGTGCTCTGGCTCCATTGTGATCAGCCCAATTCCTTACACCACAACCCCGCAGCAGCATCTTGCAGGGTTCATGGCTCATGGCAGGTCATTTTGCACCGTCGCAGAATCACGAACCTGACCGTGTAATCATTAGCAACTATGCTTGGGCCTTCCTGTGTACATGAGCGACAAGCGCCGTGTCATCTCCGAAAATGAAACAATAATCTCCCACATCAAGTCTTCGTGGGGTCGTCTTTGTACATTTGCATCATTGAGGATGCGACATCACGATAATTTGTCTATGACTCGGAAAAGCTATGGACCGGAGAGAGCGGTCACTTGTGTTGGTTGGATATACTCACCTTAATTCAGCAGCATCTCGCAATCACGGGTGCAAAAGTCCACGTCTCCCACTGGGAACAGACGAATACACATGGTCTAAGCGAACCTAGGACCCAGGCCCCATTCGGCCTGAACACTTGCCATTGTCCGCACCAGTCCAGCAGTACAAGCAGACAGTATTATGTATCTTGCGGCAGTGGCAAACTTCGGGTTTCAGCAGCATTTGGAGCGATCGGTGCCGTTCGGGTTCATGTCGACACATTCTACGACTCCGCTTAAAGGCCTTGGATGCTCGAGGCAGCCATCAAAGAAGCATCAAGCCGATTCCAGGGAATAAAAGCGACCTCGCATCATGAATAAAAGCAACCCATGCCCGTCCTGTTCCACAGCAGGACGGGGAACAAGCCAAGCTCGACGACGAAACGACAGTAAAAGAAACAAAAAGGACCAAAGGCAGCACCGATGATACAGAGAGTGCAAACTTGATTGGTTTCAGATGCTTGCGCCCCTCTTTCGATCGCTACATACTGTACCACCCTGAAGGACGGCGCGAACTGATCACACTCGTGTCCGAAGAAGCGCTGAGCGCGGAGGACGAGCTCGCGACACATCAAGGCCGGGTGGTGCTGAGAAGCCTTCGTTTTGAAATTGAATTCCTGTACGGGCCTCTGTGGAAACACAAACGGACCAAACTCTTCCAAGGCCATGCTGACCTAGGTGAGCGAGGAGAATCAGTTAGGACGTGTCCTTCTCCGTGCATAAGCTCAAGTGCAACATGCATTGATATGCATTTTTCGCAGCAGTCCCAATCCTACCAGTAGGATCCGCATGCAACAGGATTCAATCATGGGTGCGTGGCTGAACACGGTCAGTTCAGAAGCAACTGTTCAACGTTGCGCGTGGTGAACCGTCTCTTCTGGAAAAGCCGTGACGCGGTGGCGTGCATTACACATCCCGCACGAAACTTCAACGCAAGAATTTGGCAGAGGCATGCAGCGCCAGCGGCGGCTTCCGCAGGTAACACCAACCATTGCATATGCGCCAGAACGGATGCGGACCTCCAGTCACAAAATAATCGTGCGAATTCGGCTGGGGGCCAAGAGACCATGAAGAGACCATCAGGAAACCACCAGAACCCAACCAGGGAGACCAATCACAAGAAAACCCAGAGACCAGCAATCACAGCAAGGCAACCAGCACGAGGAGACGATGGCCAAAATACTTCCCCCCCAAATATTGACGGGATTCGCAGGCGCCATGCACTGGTAGAATGCAGGAAGCCGCCCTACATGCTTCCCTCCTTGTACCGGCGGATTCAGAAAAACATGACCCCGATGCTTCCCCCCGTGGACTGATTCAGGACCACTGCCAAAATGCTTCCCGATGTACTGGGAACACTGTTTGCCGAATCACCATAGATGGACTCAGAGCTCGGGAAGCAGCAGGGGCCACGACATGCCACGACACAAAGTGGGTCAAAGCATGAGGAAGAAAAACACTGGCGCGGCACGACGAAAAAGACGCAGCCATTCCTGTGGTGACAAGCCTACCGCTACCCATATTCATACCAAAGGTGTGCGTGGAGCAAAAAAGCTTGCTACTGTTGTATTCAGCACCGGCCTCATGCTTTGTCTCACTCCTGTGCCCTGCGCAGGCATGTTCAGCAGTTCCTCCTCCTCTGAACTCTTCTGGCCCAAACCCTGACGGATGTCGAAGATTAAAACACATACTGAAACAAATGTTGAAACCTCCAACAAAGTAACCAGCCTTTTCATGGTTGTTACATTCACATGCTGAAGAACTATTACGGACAAACACACACACACACACAGAGACAAATGCACCATGACATCAGCTGGCAGGGACAGTGGCGGCATTGCGCAATCGCAGATTGAATCTTGGGGATGCCCAGTGGCCGAGCAGGCGAAGCTCTTCACGAGCCGCCGCCAGTTGAGTTGCTGCCTCCCGTATCAACGAAAATCTCGCTTCAAATTCTACTAAACCGCAACCAGGGCCAGGGCAGCATGCCTGGAGTTCCGTTGCCGATGCATCACTTCCTGACACCCTGCCTGGATCCATTCTTCGCTTCCAGGAGGGGTGTTTTCACTGAGCACTTCAAGCTGTGCTACCTGACAGACATGCTTCAGGCATGCTGGATGCGGACCTCTGGGAAGTCCACACTTGCAGAGAGCCTCAGCTTTCTTGTCACGAGCCATCTGCAGCAGCTGCGCCCCAGAGTCCAAGGAAGCCCAAGAAGACGCTCGCGACGCCTTCACATTTACACACATTCGGATCCACGGTCAGCACCGTTGATTTTGGAAAGCCTAGATAACGTCTCGCGCCTTGTCAAGAGCTTGCTTCATCGGCTTCACCTGTCCTTCGTCACCTGTAATGGGCTCATGTTCAGTATCCAAAAAGCCTCGCAGCTGCTACAGTGTGGTTCTGTTTGGCTTAATAACACCGATTAGATCTGTACTTGGTCAACACCTGTAAGCCACAAGTGGCCTTGCAACCGCACCCATGGACCGTTGTGACACCCGCTAGAATATCTCGCCTGATGCTTGGAGGACGGAGTCAGTTGCTTTTGTCAGCTCTGGTTCTGGAGCTCGCTCTGGTGCACCTTCGGATCTAGGCACCTCCAAGAAGCCCTCGTGAGCCGTGCAGCGCTCGCTCAGCGCTGCCTCCCGAGCCTCTGCCGCCTGCAGCTTGTCTCGAAGATACTCAACTTCCCGCGTCAACTCGCCGACAGTCTCGGCAGGGCGTCTCTGCCCTGAGCGGCCAGAACGAGCCGGTGCAGATGACTGGCGGCGCTTCGAGCACTCGGGTGACGAGGCTCTCTGAATTTGGGAATCCGTGATCTCCGCGCCTGCCACTGCGGCTTCGTGAGCTTGGCACAATGCTTCAACAAGCTTCCGCAGTTCCGACTTGTGTGACATCCCACGAGATCTTGGTGTCAAATCAGTGAGGTTAGCCGGTGCGACTCGGCATCTCTTGCACGTGCGCTGTACAATCTCCAGCAGTTCGGTCATTTCTTGACGTAAGCTCTTGCAGTCTACCCAGAGCTGCGTCACCAATGGATCGTCAGATTCGAAGTGATCTCGGCTCAGGCTTGCTGTTGCCTGCCCTCCTCCTGACTGGCTCAGTTGAGTCTTTGAAAGCTGCAGAAAGTCGAGTGGTTCGGCTCGTGTCCCCTGTGCATCTGCGGCCCTGGCAGCATTGGAGAACTCTTCTCCGTTGCAGCTTTGGTCTTGGGCCTCCTCTACTTTCACAGACAACTGCTCATTTTCTGTGCGGACAACCTGGGTCTCTGCATCCTCCGTGCACGCCTGCTTGCTGTCAGAGCCTTGCATTCCGCCGGATGCCTGGCTGACTGCAAGCTCATCTGGAACACGTGGTGTTTGACTCGACGGATCACAGAGTTGCGGTCTTGAAGTCTCCGACTCTATCTGCTTATCACTGTCAACGGCAGTTCTCCCAACGTCTCCACGGCAGTAATCGCTGTCCGACAGACTTTCGGTTTCATTTGCAATGCTGTCTCTGACTTTGCCTGCCTCACCATAATGGCACGGCAAACCTGCCATCAAAGCCACTGTTGGCGGTGTTGCAGAACGTCGTACGGTCGAGGAGAGCACTTGGCGCACGTCTGAACCTGCCCGACATCTCTCGGACATCATCACTACCTCTCGGTTACAGCTGGCATACAATGAACAAACCCGTCTGGACTCAAGCATCGAGACCCCCAAGGTGCCAATGTCCCGCCTCCCCCCGCTCGTCTGTCTTGTCGGGGACTTGCTGCCTCGACGGCCTTCAGGTTTTTGTGAAAAACCTTGCGCCTATTTGTCGACGTATATACGTATGTAATTATGCATGTATGTATGTACGTAGACCTGTTTATTTTTTCAATTAGGTCTCTATGTGTTCATTTGTTTGCAAACTTACTTACTTACGTATCCATTCAAATTTCCTGTTTGATGTGTTCAGTTATCTTTTCATTGACGGCTTGGGCCTGGGGGTGGGCACACCCTCGAAGCTACTGAAGCTGCAAGCCGCCCAGTCCTGTCTATACAATGCAATACTGCACTTTCCCATACTGTAATGTACTGTACTATGCTTTTCTATGCTACACTATGCTATGCTATGCTGTGCTAGGCTAGGCTATGCTGTGTTCGAATCTACTGTACTCTACTCCATCCTAAACCCAAGAAGTCTAAGCCCTGAACCAAAGAACCCTAAGTAAACCAGGCAAAGTCCAGAATCCTAAACAAGAACCCCGGGCCCTCTGTCCAAGAACCCCAAGCCTCAAACCCAAGAGCCCTACGCCGGAAACACACAAACCCTAAACCCAAGAACCCGAAGTCCTAAACTCAAGAACCCCCAAGAACCATAAGCCCCTAAACCCAAACCCAGGAACCCAACTCTAGGCCATGAACCCTAAACCCTAAATCCAAGAAGCCTAACCTAAACCCAAGAACCCTAAGCCCCAAGCACAAGAACCTTTAACTCAAGACTTTTGAACCATACTTAGCCCTGCGTCCGGAACCCAAGAACCCAAAACCCTGAATCCGAAAAACGAAGCCTCAAACCCAAGATTCCAACAAGCCTAAGCCCTAAACTCAAGAACCCGGAGCGGATGTCGAGACGCGTCCCTGCTTCGATAGATTATACTATACTCTGCTGTCCTGTGCTGCATTACACTACACTATTACACTATACGATGTACAATACTGTAATGTACTATCTATACTGTATACTACGATTCTATGCTGTGCTATGCTATGCTATGCTATGCTATGCTATGCTATGCTATGCTATGCTATGCTATGCTATGCTGTGCTATGCTATGATATGCCCCTCAATCGAGGAACCCTAAGCGGATGTTGCGACACTCTTTGCCCAGTCCTTCGTTACACACTATAGTGAACCCCAGAAAGTTGGAACATGAATTTAGGATGATTAGTGCTGGGATTCCCTATACTTGATGTTAAAGGGCATCAGGATAATGATGTTCCAGCTTTCTGGCTTCTACTGTATACTCAGCCCAGCTCTATTCAACTCTACGTTGCTGTACATCACTATACTTGCCCGTACTATCCTTTTCTAGGCTATACTAATCTAGGTGAGACTATGCCATGCTGTGCTATAGTCTACTCTACTCTAGTCTACCCGACTAGACTCATTCTACTCTAAACCCCAAACCCCAAAACCCCGAGCTCTATACCGCAAGAACTCTAAGCCCCACTGAGCTTTGAGTCCTAAGCAAGAACCCTAGTAACTTAGGCCCAAAAACCCTACGCCTCAAACAAGAACCCTGTGCCTTAAACCCTAAACCCAAGAACCTGAAGCCCTCAACCTCAAGAGCCTTCACCTTAAACCCAACCACGCTGAACCCTAAACAACCCTAAACTCAAGAACCCAAAGCCCTAACCCAAGAAACCCTAAGCCCTAAACCCACGAACCGTGAACCTTAAACAAAACAGTCCAAAGCCCTGAACCCAGGAACCCTACGTCCCAAATCCAAGAAAACCGAGCCCCGAACCCAAGATTCCAAGAACCCTACGCCCTAACCCTAAACCCAAGAACCCCAAGCCATAAACCCTAAGGGGATGTCGCGACGCCCTATGCCCAGCCCTCCCTAGTCAGATTATGTGCTCTACTCAACTCTACTCTGCTCTCGTGCACTACACTGTAGTGTAGTGTAGTGTACTGTACTGTACTATACTACACTATACTATACTGGCTGCACTATACCATGCTTTACGATACCTTGCTAAGCCTTTGCTGAGCCATTACTAGGCTACTCTAGCCTCGGCTATACTATGCTGTGCTATCGTCGACTCACTGCTCGACGCTAAACCCGAAGCCCAAGAACCCTAAGCCACCAAACCCAAGAACCCAAGCCCTACTAAGCCTTGAACCCTAAGCCTGACATCCAAGAACCCGAAACCTCAAACCCAAGAGCCCTACGTCTCAAACCCAAGCACCCTACACCTTAAACCCTAAACCCTTCAACCCAAAGCCCTCAACCCAAGAACCCTGAGCCTTGAACCCTAAATCCGGGGACACTAGCCTTGAACGCTAAAGCCAGGAACCCGACGTCCCAAATCCAAGAAAGCTGACCCCCAAACCCAAGATTCCAAGAACCCTACGCCCTAACCCTAAACCCAAGAACCCTGAGTGCATGTCTCGACAGCTTGTGCCCAGTCCCTCCTGCGTTACATCATTTACTCTACTCAACTCTACCTCAACTCTACTCTACTTTGGTCTACTCTGCTGTGCTGTACTGTGTGCTACTGTACTGTACTATACTAGACAAGTACGAGATACTATACAGTACGATACTATACTTTACTATGCTATACTGTACTATATAACACAATGCCGTACTAAACTATACTGTACTGTGCTGTCCCGTACTGTACTGTATTGTACTGTACTGTACTGTGCTATACCATACTAAACTACACTATGCTATACTTTGCCATGCAGTACCATACTGTACCGTGCCGTGCCATGCCATGCTGTGCTATGCTACACGATGCCACGCTATGCCATTTTCTACTCCACTCTATCCTACTACTCTGCAACACTATACGAACCCTGGCCCTAAGCGAAAGGAGGCTGCTTCATATGATACTACATGGGTATTTGCAATATAGCGAGTTATATTGCCTTATACTGTTCGGCATCGTCGCAGTTTGATTTCGTTGGTACAGGTTGACATTGTGCTATGATCTGTTGGTGTATATGACAGTACATGATACAACATGATGCTATATGATGAGATATGTCCTTGTCTGACACTATACGACGATACGACAGTGACAATATACTATACTTATGTGTAGTGGATCACATATCATTACAAAACCGTTCGTCGCATCATTTGTTCTTGTCTCTGGTCTTCTCATGTACAAACTACCCACCCTCCAGCCCATGGATGCCGTGACACTTAGAGGATGCAGTTGCGCACACGCTTTCTTGTGGAATTACAGACTTCCTGGAGGCGATCGGGGCGGCGGCGGGCTCACAAGAAAAGCCTACAGTTAACATACCTGGATCTAGCTGCAAATCTACAAATGCTTCGCACACCTATGGTACATTCCGACACGAGACGCTTAAGGTGCTGTGCTTCGCTCCGCACTGTCCAGCATATCATTTTGCATGATGCTTTGCAATACATCAGGATTAGGCTATATTAGATGACACCATATGCAGTTTGAAATGCTGTAGAATATCATATTGCATTACAGCATATCATCATCATATCGTGCATATGGTATTGTATCACATAATCTCAAATCACATTAGAATCTATTGTAGTTTAGATTACTATCCTATTCTACTCTTTTCTATTCCATTACGTTGGGAATCATCTCCCTCCCTTGGCGTAGCCTGCCGCTTTTTGCAAGCAGATTTCTGGGTGGGCACCTCCCCGACGCGAGAACGCGCTCTGGAGGCGATGGTCCGCTTAACCGCCGTTTGGTGTCAAAGCTGATGCGCCGCAGGTTCGGGTTTCGGGCGGTTTTGGTGGCTTCTTTGAGCTTCGCAGCTTCATCCCAAAAGTTGGCCCCCCGGGCCCAAACCATGTATTCCTTCACTCATTCATTCGTTTGCTGATCTATGCTCACTTCCTTCATTCTTTCAGTCTTTCATTTCACGTCCATTCCTTTCCTTTCCCTTCCTTTTCTTGCCTTTCCTTCCTTCCATTCCATGTCAGTGCACGTCATTCCAAACATGCTTCATTCATTCAATCATTCATCCGTTCATCCATTCAACTCATTCCCTCCATTCATTAATTCGTTGACTTGTTTAATTTACCTGTGTATCTAATTACTCATGCATGTTTGTTTGCTGATGTGATTTACTCATTTGTTCATGTGTTCGCTTATATTCTATCAAACATGCGCTGTAATCTGAAACGCTCCAAGCCTGGCGAGGGGTCCTTTGTTCTGGAGATAGCTGTGGCTCACCGCTACTGCCTCGGCTGCAACCAGGGCAGCTTCCAATCAGGTTTGTACCGAATTTCACGAGGAGAAAAATGCACTGAGATCTTCCGAAACTTCTACACTGGTAAAGGAAAGCGGCGCTTTGGTTCACGAGGCGAGGATAGCACCGGATGTTTCTCGCTGGACTGTGGTCGGTTCAATTTGCTCTTCTGCTTGGCTTCCAGATCTCTAGCCAGAGGACTGAATCTCCAGCGGGGCTCTGTCGACATCTGGTGCGTGCTCCCAGGCCGCAAGGTCTTCCAGAAGTCATGGACAGCTTCTGCAACCCTTTTGGTGTTGGTGGAGCTGGACTGAGGCTCAAGTGCAAAGTTGTCCTGCTCACTCTCAGAGCTAATACGCGGCGGGCGCGGGGTCAGCAACTTCGGAACGGGTGGCGTGTCCACCCCTTTGGAAAGCGGACGGCGCTTTCCAATAGGCGGTGGGGGAGTGCGCCCGCTCTGCCTAGCTTGGCGCATGGGTGCGATGGTGCCGCGAGACAACATGCTCCTGCTGCGCACTGTTGCTAATTAATGCTGCTGCAGAAGTGGTTCGCCGATGGGCCTAGTTGTCCAAACCACGTGGAAACCTTGCGCTAGGAGCTCTCACCACATTCGATGGCCTCTCCTTGGAGGTCTTGAGCAGTAACTGCAGGGAAGCTGTGACTGTGAGCAGCCCAGGCCATCCGCGACGTCTGAAGCCTGAAATTTCTGAAAGTGGCAAAGTGTCCTCGCTCACCTCAGGGGGCGGTGGGCCCATTTCGGAGCTGCCAAGGCCGGCAGCAGGAAAGTTATCCTGAAGATCAAGAACCTGCGCAGGGCAGGAAGGGGTTGTAGATGATGCCACCAGTCACATGGAAATTCCGGGATGCTGGCGCTCAGCGAGGCAGACGTCACAGCCGCACAGACTGACCAAGCGAGACCACGGTAAGACGGTAAGGGCCTGTCAAAGCCGGTGTACTTCTCAATCGTGCCTAGATCAAGAAAGATCTCTTTTGTCAGGAGGCCCAGTTCATTCCTCGGTAGTTCGCACCGTGCGCTGCACGGCTAAGGGACACGTCAAGACGTGTGAAGCAGTGTCATGGGCAACAGCTCAATGCCAACAAGCAAAAGCTACAGTCACTGTTCGGTTTGCTGCTCTCCTCGCAGAAGCAACATCGTCATCGCAAAACCTGTGGGCCTGACTGTGCCAGATTGAGGAACTTCAGGTCCGGATGGTTGCAGACCACCTGACGCACGCTTCGGCGACTCTCCGAATCGGAACATCGGAGCATCGCACCATGGCGCAGCCGCCTCCGCCCAGCGCCGCGCTCCGAGTTCGCCTCGGTCTTGGCTTGGCTTTGCGATGCTTTGGAATGGAGTGGAGGAGATGTAGCACGGCGTAGGACTGTGGGCGTATGTGGGCGTACTGTGGATTCGGTCCAAGCTACGGCTCCTGTTCCCTCGCAAGTCCACGGAAAGCACCGGCAATGGCACGTTTGATACGGCCTGCCGACACGCATGCATGCGTTCAAAGGGCAAACAAGGCCGAGGGCTTCTGCAGACACCTCGATGTCATCACCTTCCTCTGGAGGAGCAACACCTCCGATAGCCTCCGCAATGGCTATGCTTCCACGCTCCTTGCAGAAAGCTTCGATGCGTCGCCAGAGTGCGCAGGCATGCCAACAATGACACTACCCAACAATGCAACGGCTCTCCTGTATGAAGTTGTCACACAGCTCGATGCTGGTGAGTCTGGGAAGATTACCAAGGCTGGCAGCGATGATCGAAGCACCTGGCCATTACGAGCAGTGGTTTTCAAATTCCCGGCTCGCCAGGTGCAACTCACTTCCAAAGGCTCTTGCAACCCTGCACAGCTGCCTTCGTCACCGATGTCGTTGGAAACAAGGGCAACATGCTCTACGCTGCTGCCAGTGTCCACGAGCGCTCTGAACCTGGAGTACTTCTGATTCTGGGGACTTTCTACGTCTTACTCCAAGTTCGATGTCTCTGAGATGCGAGCAGAAGCTCGGTCCCGGCATCCCCCAAATGATTGTGATTCAGGTTTACCTGCCAAACAAAACACCAGTTCCGGACATTCGAGCAATGCGATTGCACGCGCGCGTAATCGTGTGCATGCCTCTGACGACCTTGACAAGCTAGTCCAGGATCGCTTACAGTGCGCTAAGCTTTGCAAGCACCAGGGCTTCGACATGAGTGAGAGCCGGTAACTCTGTCAGCTCAGGGAGCTTGGTGATGTGAGCCGGTCCTCAACAGCCCGCTCGGCCGTCTTGCGGCTATGTGAGCTGGGGAGCACGGCATGAGAGCAAGCGCGAGCGGGAGAGAGAAAGAGAGAGTGGCGGCGCACGCAAGCCAAGCCATTGCCAAGCCCGGTGCCGAGGTCCAGATGCTGGAGGTCCACGGACCTTTGCAGAAGATGTCTGTATGCTGATCGTTGGGTGATCGGTGTCTTTCGATCCACGTGGTGGGTTGCACACTGCATGGGATACGTACACTCAGAAGAACGTCGGCGGCTAGCGGCCAGAGAATTACAAGTACAACCAATGTGCCAAATATGCAGAAACGCGTCGGAGCAGAGGCAACGAATTGACCGTGCTTTTTCAGAAGAGACCGATGGCTTAAGCCTCCAGTTGCGTTCAACACATGCAATTCCTGGCAATTCCAATTGGGAATGAGAACCTGGGTAGAACCTGTATGGATGGCCGGATTGTCCCCAGCCCAGGTTCCTCTGCCTACAATGCTTTCGAGCAAATGGGGATCGAGCGTCGCAACTGCAAAGAAACCTGACACGTCCACCTCACCCGGAAGACCTGACGCAAGCAGAGCTTCGGGGCGTGCTGAAATCTTGGAGCCCTCTGCGGCTTTGGCTTATCGCAGCAAGCTGATCCGGTGGCATCACATCGTGGTGAGTCAGCTCCGCGTCATCTTTGCCTCGTTCGCAACCGTGGGAATACGGCAATGAGCAATGGTTCTCTCTGCGGGGCTGGCCGTAGAGAGTCCTGTAGCAGCAGTGCAGGCGCTGCCGGTTGATGTTATTCACCTAAGGACATGTGACACGCGCATCACGCGCGCAGGTTGAGCTTGAGGTCACCTGGAGGCCTGGCATAGAGCGCTTTGGGTGGGCCTGTGCTGCCGCCTGGCGGGCCTAGTCAGGTGCCAAAACAGGCAGTCAGCACACCCCCACGTGTTGATGGAAAGCCTTGGTTTTGCTTGGCTTTTCGTCGTCTCGCAGCTTTGTCCTTCTGCCAGACTCCGAGGGACAGTTCATCTCATGCAGGATCACTATTCCTGCAGGCGCTGCTTCATGAAGCCGAAGCTGTCCATTGCCTCAAGACCAGGAATGGACTCGACAAACTGCCACCGACTTGAATAATCCTCCTTGGTCGTGTACCGATTGTCCACTTCCGGTGGGGTTTCCAGCGGGCCTTCCAGGAAGCGAAGCAGAAGTCACTAGACCAGAGACATTCAACGACCTTGGCTTAGGCAGGCACGTAATGAGCACGTCATGACCCGCTGAAGCGAGTAGGTCCTGCCACGAGTGGATGAATCTATCGCAAAACTCAACCTCTTGCAAGGCTGCCTTGCGAGCTGAGAAAGAACCGCGAGAAAGAACGGAGAAAGGGAAAAGGCAAGATGATGGCAGTTCGAAGAGAAGGCCAAGGCTCGCCTCACATCCCGGAACTGACGGAACCATCGACACACGGAGCTCTGCCAAGATCGGACCTACGGCGCGGCGCGGAACTTCAAAGAGTCTTCATACATGGACAAGCGGATTCACAAATCGTCAGGGCTCACTGTCACTGCCAGCAGTAAGGTTCCATGACGCCTATAAGCCTATCAGTGGTTATGCCCTCGATGTACACTACAGACCCTACGACATGATTAATTTCTCCGGCAGTTTTGTGGACTTTGAAACGATTGGCCAACGTTGAACAGCCGCTATCGTTTGCGGCTACTTGCATGACACCGGAAACATGGCACAAAGGCAGGAGTGGAACTCGTGCTCTTATCCGTTTATCTTGGGCATGTCACCCCTTCCATGTAACGACCTGCCAATACCTGCCAGCTGTTGCATGTATGCAAGGACTTCACTCGAAGACATTCCTTGCGAATCGTTTGTATTTGCGTAGTGTCTGAGGCATCGGCATGCTTCAAAGAGCCTGCATGTAGAGTCGATGTGCGCCTGCAGTCGTGCCTCAAGAAGCTGCCAGCTGTTGCCACTGCACACACGCATGATTTGTCCAATGGGCTGCAGGCAGCTACAGCAGCCACCTTGCCACCCTCGACAGGTGGCGGAAATGGACTGTCATTACCTGGGCAAAAGCGGAGTGGCCAGTCAAAAAGAATATCAGTGCCGAGAAGAGCACTGCAGGGTGCACCAGCCTGAATGCAACATAACGAAACATGATACAACTTGAAGTCACACAGAACGAGCCGCAGGCCTGGTGAGCCGGCCTGCAGACAGAGCAGCTTTCCGGCTTCAACTCGGGATTCTCTTCCAGCCTCCCCCAGAACTCTGATGAACCGGATGTTGCGGTGAGGAGATACGGAGACACGACAATGTGCCTTGCGCAGGTGCTGCTCAGAGAGCTATGGGGCTGAAGATGAAAGGGTAGCATTCCCCACCCGGCTCACCAAAGCGGCAATCCGTTGGAAGTGTGAAGAGCTCTCTTCGTCAACGTGCCCAACCACGCTGACACATGCACTGAGAGGTTTTAGGCACCGACACATGGCAGTATGGAATGGTCTGGAAGTGATGCATGACCTGGCGCATGGAACGGTTACTGCTGGTTGCTGACAACGTTCTCGAATGCAGAGCCAGGAGCCCGGCTCCTGCAAAGAAATGTATGTCACACTCGGACATTGAGGCCAAAGAGGTGACCTCCGCTGGGACGTTTCGGCGTTTGACAAGAAAATGTTGCTGCACTTGGCCTTGCCACCCGAGGCTTGCCTCGCAGGACGCATTGACATCCGGCTACGGTACTGAACATTCTCTCCTCTCTCCGCCAACACCCAAACTTGACGCCCGGTCTGTGTCGCTGCACATGCCGGGTCCCACGTCCAGCAGCTTAGCTGCCGGAGCTGAGCACCCTTCGGGATCATATGCGCCCAATTCGAGGATGTGGGAGGCGAAAGACAAACATTTCCGATGTCCGCAGTTGCAAGGCAAGGCTCGGCAATTCGATGACGGAGTCAAACCCTAAAAATAATAAAACAAATGCCCGGGCCCCTGGTGCGCAGATAGCCCAACCGCCGGTGAGTGCTCCGACTGAACCGGGCTAGTCTGAGCTCGGGACAAGCTGTCATTAAGAAAGTTGCGAAGCCTTGGCAGTGTCGGTGATGAAATGTGCTCTTCTCCACAAGACTTACGAAATTTCGCTGAGGCATTGTCAGCATCGGTGGGGCAGTTTGCCGGCTACTGCCACCACCCGTGCTGCGAGGTATGGCCTGAAGCGCCTCGGCTGTGCCGGCGCAATGCAAGCACTTCTCGTCTCCCGCACTGGGTGTCGTTCCCGAGGATAATAGAGTGCGACGCCCTACAACGCGACCGGCTGCGGCACTCTTGCAGCAATCTTACATTGCACTAAATCGAGCTGCTGCACCTCCACATCCGCTCGCACGCGCAGCACATGATTTGGAGACTGCCCAGCTTCGATGAAACCCGAAGCACGACTGGCGAAGGGCCCTTTAAGTCTTAAGGATATTCTGTCTGTTCCGACAGTTTCAGGAGCAAAGGGCTGAGAGTCCCGTTTGCTAGCTCTTTGACTGTCACCCGCTGCAAAACACTTACATGCTTGTGACTTACCAAGACGATTCAATCCATCCTTCGACGCCTGCTTCTGCAATCTACCAGTGGTTTCGACTCAGTCTCCACAGAACCAAGTTCGGGCCCCAGGCTTCCATGTCGACACCGTTGACCATGCGCAGACCGCTTCCAGTCGCACCACCCTGCCGCCAAGAATTAGACTTCCTGAAGCCTAGACCTTAGACAACTCGAGTGAGCAAGGGGACGTTCGATGCCGCGGCCTCACGACTGTGCTGCATGAAATTGAGGAGCTCATAAGCTGACCGAGTCTTCCTGGGTGACACAAAAAGCCAAGCATGGTATCACCACGGATGATGGGCACATCTGCATAGTCATTCGGCAAGCCGCGAACAGCTTAGGTCGCTTCAATCGCAAACAGCCGCGAAGATTTAGTTCGCATAGGCCGCCGCGCAATGCTCCACTCAGGTACCTATGACACCGAACTGGTGGGCAGCCACTACGCAACAACGGCTACCACGTCTCTGTCGAGCAGTTGTCGAGCCCGCACAGCAGATCGGCACGGTGTCTTGAGCGTGTGACACAAGTCAGCCACAGTAGCATCCGTGATCTGCAAGTTGCCTAACAGGTGAGACATTAACAAAGGCATGATAGACAGCTCAATCACGCCTGAGAGATCGATTTTTGTGAGGTTGACCAAGCCACCTCGGCGGAGACGAGATCGGAGCTCAATCTGCTAACAGGCGTGCAATACGAGAGTAAGTCTTCAACCGCTCCGCGATGCACCCTGCGCAACTTGCTTCCGCCCGCCCCGCATCCCGACAAAATCTGTTTTCTTCGAACATCCGGACTCGAAAAGAAACTCAACCCGTGGGATACTATACAGGTCTAACTGTGTGGGATACACTGCACCATACTTCGCAGGATACTCTGGGTGCGTGCACTACAGAGAATACGCTGCGGGGTCTCTGGGCACTGCAGAAATACTTCGTGGGATACTTTGGGTTGGGCACTCCCGAGATACTCGGGATAATCTGAACTAATCTGAACATACTCCGGGGATGGACAGCTCGGGCACCCAGGCTAATCCAAGGATACTCTGCGGAATGGTCTGGGGATAGGTACTTCACAGATACTCGGTGAAGCTCTCTGCACAGCTAGATTGATGGCAGCAAGCCAGCTGCCTGGCCAGCAAAGTGTCTCAGCATGGCACAAAGGCCCCTCAGACCCACATCCTTGAGACGGCAGTCATGCACCAGACAATCATGCTGCGATGGTCACTGCATGTCTGTGTCTGAGGAACAGTCTGTGAGACTGTGGCCTCGACAGAGAGACATCAAATTGGAGACATCTTGACAAGATCACAGGCCGAAAGCTTCGCAGCTTCGCTGCCTTCCAATTTCAGATCGGCTAGACCGGCACCGCCGGCACCTGCAATCGTGTTTCCTCGCACTCCAAACTTTCTTCGCTCGGCAGATCCTGCCTCCTGCGAAAGCAACAACCGACCACAAGGCCAGGCGTGCCTCCACTAAAATGCATCTCCGCATGGACACGACACAGCTCCGCAGGTTCCAGCCATAACCCCCAGCGTAAAGTCGTTCCATTCCTGTCGACTGCTTCGCCACTCTCCATCTGTCACTGCTTCGAAGAGCGCAAAAACCCTCAGCTTCGTGCGATGCTGTCGGAGAGCTCAAGGGGAGCACCACCTGCAAGCCGAGCGGATCCGCGGGATGAGCCCCGCTCCGGCGCTCGAGCCTTCAGGATGATCCTTCAGCTGAACCAATCTGGACAGCGGGAGACCATTTAAGCCTCAGTGGTGGGGCTCTGCAACGCACCACGTTCCTCTGCAGTTTGGACCTCGTGCTACCCCACACAGTTCTGTTGAGCTGAACATGTTCAGCCTAGGTCTGCATGCAGACCGCATTACAACGCTTGCCATAATGCGTGCACGCGGCACGTCCTCACAAGGTTCCCAATCTTCCTACGAAGAAGCTCATGCCCGAGGCCCCTTTTAGACAGGCGTGGGAGTGCCTGTTCGTGACCACATCATTCACTAAGGCATGCACTGACCAGGCGAGGCGCCAGCTCTGCGACCGCCTCTTACGGTTTTCAATGGAAGTCTGAACCTGCCGTCATTCTCAATCGTGCCTGCAAGAGCAAGCTCGCACCCCGACTCGACAGTCTTAGGTCAGATATCCGCAGCACTTCCTCGGAGACTCGGTTTGTGCTGGCATGCCCGGGCACACAGCAGTCAGGCAAGCAAGAAGAACGATTGATGGTTCTGGGGGCGGAGCAACGGACCGCAGATTCAGAAGAGCATCTGTTAAGTGCGCCTTGGAGGCTTATGATGTCTGCTGCAGCACGCATACGCCAACTCGGCATCATTTGATCCCACCATGAGCGCGGCCAGTGTGGAATCCTGCGGAATTTCCAGCCGGCGCAGGGTGACCTGGACATGACAAGACAAATTGAGCTAAAGTGGCTCACACGGCCTGCCACACCGCGACCGAAACTCAAACAAACACACACTTGCATTGCCGGTCGGTGCCGG